CACTCATATGTGGAATATAAACCAACACATGGACAGAGAAAACTGTACTGTGATTACCAGGGGCAGTGGGGGTGGGGGGTGGGCACAAGGGGTGAAGGGAGTCATATATATGGTGATGGACAAACAAAAATGCACAACCCAAAATTTCACAATGTTAAAAACCATTAAAACATCAATAAAAAAAAAAAGAAGATTAAAAAGCAAAGTTAGACCCTTCTTCACAACAAACAAAAGAATTAACTAAAAATGGATCAAAGACCTAAATATAAGAGCTAAAAATATAAAACAATTAGAAGAAAACATAGGAGTTAGTCTTTGTAAATATGGGTTAGGCAATGGTTTCTTAGCTATACAAATAAAAGCTCAAGAAACTAAAAAAAAAAAAAAAAAAAACGGATAAATTAGACTTCTTCAAAATTAGAAATTTTCCTACTTCAAAGGGCACCACGAAGAAAATAAAAAGACAACTCACAGAATGGGAGAAGATATTTGCAAATCCTGTATCTGAGAAGGGACTTGTATCCAGAACATATAAAGAACTCTTACAAATCAATTATGAAAAAGAAAAAAATCCCAATTTAAAAATGGGCAAAATTTTTGAACGGGCATTTCTCCAAAGAAAATACGCAAATGGGTGATAAGCACCTGAAAAAATTCTCAGTATCGTTTGTCATTCAATAAATGTAAATCAAAACCACTCCATACATACTAGGATGGAAAAAATAAAGACAGACAGGTAACAAGCGGTGGTGAGAATGTGGAGAAATTGGAACCCTGAAACATTGATGTTGAGACTGAAAATTGGTGCAGCCACTTTGGAAAACAGTTTGGCAGGACCTCAAAATGTAAAAGGTAGACTTACCATATGACCCAACAGTTCCACTCCCAGGTATATACCCAAGAGAAACAAAAACGTATGTCCACACAAAAACATGTATACGCGTTTTGTTAACGGCATTCTCCATCAAGGCCAGAAGATGGAAACATATCAAATGTCCATCAACTGATGAGTGGAAAAATGTGCAAACATAACGGTTCTTCCATTCACCAGACTAATATAGTGGATCTTCTCAAGCAAAGGGGCGCTGGAATTTTAGTACCTGGATTTAAATTCCAGCTCTACCACTCTTTACTCAAGTTTCTTAATCTTGTGTTTCTAGAACTTTATACTATAAATGAGTGCTCACATATTGTGGGAATTTAATAATGAGATAATGAATTTAAACCAGAGCATGTCACATAACGAATACTAAATACATTATATCTATTATTATTGTTGCTACTACTGTTATTTACTCATATTTTGGTTTTACATATAAAACATAAACTTCCTCTAACACTTCCTGCCACTCAAGGACATACTAGAGAGGGACTTTATTCCCGACATCCTCTTGCTCCCACTTGCTCCTGTCCTAGGGGAGGTGGAGGGGCAGAGGAGAGAGGCTTATATGATTGGTTAGAGCATGTTATTCATTGTGCCATGTGCTCAGTGGTTGAGTCTTCCTCTCCTTTGCAGTTTGTCTCAGATTGGACAGAAAGGTCAGGATTATCCTCTGTTTTCTGCTCTCGTGGAATAAGCTACATACAAGACCGTGTAGAGGCAGGCCAGGAGACTCTCCTCTGTATCTTGCAGTCTGTCCCAATGGCAACCAGGTTTGTGAGGTAGGTTACATATTATATGTTGTTGAGTAGGTGTGTTCAGACTTTTCTGCATACTTGAGCATCCCCTGAGCAGAACCCAAGTTGTCTATAAATAAAATAATAAAATAGGTAGCTTTCTTTTTGGCATTCAGTCTAATCCACATCCTCTAATCCAGGTTTTCCTGGAAGATCTGCAGCTCTCAGATTAATTTATAGTCATAATAAAACCCATGATTTGATCTTCATTTAGCAACTTATCCCAGATATGGATAGGGAGAATTTTCACTTCGATCATTGGAAGACCTAAAGAGAAGATATCCAGCCTTACTCAACATTTTCCTTTCAAAAAATTGACGGTGCAATATAAAGTATGTAGAGGAAATTATTTCAGAGTGCTACAATTAGTTCCTAATAGAGAAAGTCAAAAGCTAAAGGTAACAAGAACTATAAGAGGATTATGGGATTCCAAGTGTTTTTCTTAATGGAAGGCCCAATAATTAGATCTGTAGCCCATGTCAAAAACCTGGTTGTTTCTCATTGATGCATCCTCTTACCCACCCTCCATGCCCAAATCAATCACGTTCTTCTGACCCTACACAACCATTTCAACTCTGGGCACTTCTTCCACATTCTCAGACCAAGCTATCAACCACTTTTCATCTGGAATGTTCTCAAAGCCTCTTGATCTTCTCCTGTGTCCACTTGTGACCCTGTATGTCCATTTCATTCCCCACTTTGTAGCCAGAATGTGTTAAAGTGCAAAAACAATTGTGTCACCCTCCCCTCTAAAATCCTTCCTTTGCATCCCTGTGCCCTTACTATGAAGTTAAAATGGGTAATGCAGTTGATAGGAGAAGCTCTGCTACTTCACCCCACATCTATTATCCTAAACTTACCTTGAATCTCTCTCCTTTTATTTTTGAAGCCACAAATCTGCTTGACTTATTTTAATACTTCCAGAGCAGCAATTTCCTTCCTACATGGGAGCATTTGCACATGTTGAACACACTGCCAAGAATTGTTCTGCCCCTCACACTGCAACCCTACAACAGTAACAACAAACCATCCCAGGATTTGATTTTGTCACATACTGACAGTATTGCACAGTCTCTGGCTTCTCTCAGGTACAACTCCCTACCTCCTCCACTCCCCACACATGGCTTACTCAACATATGATGGTAAGGAGGGGTTTAAGAAATCTTAGGTATTTCTTTCTTACACCATAGAGACAAAAGTGTTGTAAAGGTAACGACCAATGATTCTCCTTAATCCAGCTGAATGTGTACTTGAGTTTAATTCTCTTTAATGCGAAGGAAACTCCTCATTGATCTTTCAGACGTACCTTCAGACTGAGGATTTAGGAAATGTAGGTTCAGTCTTATCAAACACCGCTGGTGGTTCCACCTCTATATTAAATAAGACTGTGAGATTCCCCAGAGCAGACATTATATTAAAATAATGCTTTCAAATGACTCATGTTCATTCCTTAGTTCTTTGGTAATATATGTGAGGTCCTGGTCACTCAGGACTAGTTATCTTTCTCTCTAAAAACTCTTACTATAACTTCATATAACTACTCCTACCTTCATACCATAGAAATCCATGTGTCAAGGACAATATTTGTGTTTATTCTCCAGGGCTTAAATTTCCTACATTCAAATATCAAGGAAACCAAAACAACAGAGAATATTGGACAGATATAAGGGACATTTCTTCCAGATTGGGAAAGACTTTGAATCCTAGTCTTGTCCCATCATTGTGACATACATTGGGCCATTGACAACTACAGTGTCTTTTTGTTGTTGTTGTTCCTGTTACAGATGTGGAGAAACCTAGAAAACTCCTCTCTCTTCTTCTACTGCCTCAAATGGCCTTGTGGATCAGCACCAAAATCAGTCTTTTCTTTCCTTATTTTTATGTCACCACCCCTGTCATGGGTCACAATTCCGAAGGAGAGAGCATGAAGAGGGTGGTCTGAAGGGGTTGCCTTTCCTTCCTTCAAACTTAAAAAATAGAATGATCGTAATGTAGAAATGGTGACCTGAGCAGGGAAAAGGCCTGTACTCGGAATCAAGACGTATGGGTTCTACTCCTAGCTTTTTTACTAACTAGTGTCACTCTGGTTAAATTATTTCCTTTCTCTGGGTTTCCTTTACCTCATCTGAGGAAAGAATGCATTGGGCACAATTGCCTTCAAGCTTCTTTCTGATCCCAAGAATGCTAAGAATCTACATAGTCTCTTTTATTAGTAGACTTCCACATGGGCAGCCTCAGTTTCTGCCTGGGTGTCTCATGAATGGTGCCAAAGATAGCAGGAGAACTAGGTCAGGCCACAGTCCATCTCAGGGCCTGCATAGGACTGGGGACCCAACCTTTGACATACAACATCTCCACCAAATTCTTCATGTGGCAGATCTTTCCTTAAGTGTTAAATTAAAAATAACATTTCAGAGACAGATAATAAAGACGATGGAAGAAAGGGCATCAAGAGTACATGAAATAATTAGTCTATAGTGTATAATATTGTTTTCAGTTTCTGGGTAGCCTGTAGATTTAGAGAACAAAAGTAACTAAAAAAATCTCTTCCAATATCAGCCATCAGAAGCTTGTCCTTACCGACATCCTCTGCAGCAAATTGTTCCCCAAGCCTCTTAAACATACATTTAAAGGTGCACTCAACCCACCCCAATCTGGAATACCACCTTGTGCCATGAGAGGTGACCTCATCCTCTCTCATTCGACTCTCAGGGATCTTGGAACCAGTGGTTGAGGAAACCATCAGCTCAAAAGCCTAGGAAGGCATGCCCTGGACCTACCTTTCTTCAAGCTTGCAACTTCTGCGTGTGTCTTATAAGTGCCTGAGATGCTGGGCAAGTGCCTTCAGTCCAGATACAATCGCTTTCCCCCACTCCACACCTCACTCAGTTTAAATCTGCATTCCTCTTCTAGCTGTTTTTCTAAATCCCAAACGTAGTGCTGAGTATTTCTGACACGCACAGCTAGTTCCTTTTTTATGTCGTAAGTGCTAATTGAGTCTGTGTCCCTTATATGGATGTGGAGGTCAATTGTGAAATTTGCTGAAGAAGCAGTGACTGCCTCATACAGTCTTTTATAGGAAAATAATGGTGGTTATTACCACTATTAGTGGTATATCAGTGTATATAATGTATATCAGTGGTTGAGGATTTACTGCATGTCAGACTCTGCTCAAAGATCTTTATTTACAAAAACTAATTTTATGGCATTTAAAATCACTTGAAAAGCACCCTGTCACAATTTCACATGTTCCCCTTTTCTCCCTAGAGAACTGTGTGTTGCCATTATATACATAATTTAAATGTATTTTTTACATGACATTCCACCATTAGAGATAAATGTCTGTAAAATGTCAACAAGTTAGTTGCATAGCAATAATTAATATGGCACTTTCCTAAATCAAAGAGGAAGCTGATATCATGGAAAGAGCCTGGTCTTTGACTAAGACACACCCAATACCAATCATTTATTGCATGCCTTTGTTATTTCTCTGAACCTAAGATTCCTCATTTCTAATATAAAACCAATACTTACTTCACATGGAGGAGAAAAGTAAAGTCACGTTCGATTCTCATTCATTCAACATTTTCTTAGAGAAAAGTTATTATGAGCCAAGCAGTGTGCTATGTGCTGCAGAAAAAAATGGTGAAAAATGATAGAGTCCCTGCCCTCAATCAACTTATAGATTATGGGGCATACAGACAAGTAAACATATTGTCATAATCCAGGATAATCAGTTCTCTGCAAGGTAAAGAAGAGTATTCTAGGAGAGCTTATAGGAAGGTCAATTAATCTGACTTTGGTGATGCAGAGAAGACTACCTGGAGAAGGATACATCTAACTGGAGACTTCTTGAATGAGTAGGAGACAGACAAATGAAAGGAGAGTTAGGTGAAGGAGAGTAAGAGATTTCCAGGCAGAGTCAACAGAATGAAGAAAAGCCATCTCTGTTTATGGGCATCTTTTAAAATTAAAGCACAATTCTTCCAGTCATCATGCAACCAGACTTACTCTCCCACTCCTACAATTAGTAAACTGGAAAAAATTTTAAACAATGCTTGTGGGCATTGGATAGTAGTCAATGCAGGGCTTTCAACACTGAGAAAATGGAAATAGATGTGAATATAACAATTGCTCTGATTTTCTTCATGAAGGAACTTTCCAGGCCATTGTCAAGGAGAATTCATGAGGATCTTACTGTACTGAAAAGATAGAAACCAGAGTTTGAAGGAGCTGAGGCAGCCAGAATTAGTGATTATAGAACCATAAAGGAGGTAGCTGTGCAGAGACAGAGTTTCTGAAATCTGCACAAGAGGCCTTTTAAATTCATTGTCAAATAGTATCCATTTACAGGCTGAAATTCCAAAGTCCAATCAAAGAATAACCAAATTCGTTTATCTGCCACACAAGAGGGCCAGTAACTGGAAGGCCAGGCTTATGGCAAGGAAAGAAGTTTATTATCAAAAGGCAACCAGACAAAGATATGGTAGTTAAAACTCAGATCCACCTCCTTGAAGGGAAAAAGATAAGAGTTTTCATCTGAGGTTTTAGGCAGGGGAGGGAGAGCATGTGGTCTTGGAGGCTGAAGTTCTAAGAATCCTCTGCACAGACGCCACTGTCTTTCATATTTCTTCATGGGTTGCATGTGCAAATTTGGGGGGCTTTCTATGTGTTGCATGCAGTGAATTTTTAGTCTGTGATGTCTAAGGATTACAATCAGTCATTTTATCTTCTCCACGCTCCAGTGCAATGCTTAGTCGGGTGGTGGGGGTGCTGTCAGCAAGCTACTCTCTTATCAACGGTCCTCCTGCTGTTCTGCAAAGCAAGCTCTGAAACTTTGGTTACTTTGCTTCCCGTTAACCTTGTGAGTACAAGACAGGGTTTCATCCTAATCCAGGGAAATTTTAACTCCTTCGTCCTCGATTTCATTATGGCTTAACAATAAATCTAAACTAGCCAAGAGTAATAACAAGGCTAAAATCTCCTTACTAAGGTCTTTAAAAGTCTCAAAAGAATCAGTCTGGGCCTCAGGTTTAACCTCCAGCCATAAATGAAGTGTAATAGTCTTTGGGGGAAAAAAAAACTTGAGAACTGAACCACATACAGATGACAATATCCAGCATCCAATCAAAAATTATTATACATACCCAGCAGCAGAACAATGACAGTAACCAGGAGAAAAATCAATCAATAAAAACAGACCAAAAAAAAATTTATAGGTATAAATCAGTGAAAAGTTTAAAAAGACATGATGTAAATGCAGGCAGTCTTCTTTAAAATTTAGAATCATATCATTTTGCTCGTAGAGCCTATATGTTTGTATAAACTTTTTACAGTTAAAAATGTACTACTCTTAGATTGCTTATATAAATATGACATAAAAAGCTTCATGTGTGCAAAAATTCTCACTAAAAGAAGGCATTATCTGGCCATTTTTAAAAAACTCAACAGCTCAGCAAATATGAGTGTATCCAAGAAACAGCAAAGAATCAAGTAATGTAGAGTCTTGTAGGGCTTCATATGAGCTTTGGCTTTTATTCTGAATAAGAGAGGAAGCCATAAAGGGATTTGTCCCAGTTATTGCACTACCTGAATAGTTCTATTTTAATTTCTTTACGTATTTAAAACTTCAGAGATTGCCCGGACTCTGGGGGATGGCCCAACTCCAAGTACACCTTGACTCAGAGATACAAATGACATTGTTAGGAACTGATCATTTACTAGGAACCTCTCAGTTCTGCTCTCCTCTGGGAGTGTTTGTCTCTGACAGGATTCATATAGTAGAATGATGGCTGCTAACAAAAGCCGATTTACATTCTCACAGTTCAACATCTATAAAACCCCAAAAGGAAAGAGAAAAGAGGGAGACTCTCCTTCCTGGTCAGTGAAGCAAAAATGCCAGGATTAGCTTTGATTGGAAATGTCAGTCTTTCATACAATTGGTTTTTCTTAGTTCACAAGGGTAAGTGACGCAGGAACCAGTCACTGTAGTTGGGTTGATATAATTCTGCCATTGCCCAAATCTAGGAGAAGTAGAGGATAGAGTCAGCATAAATTGGGAGTAAGGGAATGATGACTCCTTAGGGGAAATTGAGGCCATGATTATCAGAACAAATGAGTATAAATGCTGTGTACCAAAAGCTATAAAATATAAATGAAGTATTGGAGAAAGAAAATAATAAGCGAGGGAGGGAAAATGACTAAAGGACCTGACTAGATATTTCTTCAAAAAAGAGGTAAAAATGGCCAACAAGTATATGAAAAGGTGTTCAATATCACTAATCATCAGACATATGCAAATCAAAACCACAATGACATATCACCTCATACCTGTTAGAGTGGCTGTTATCAAAAGGACAAGAGATACAAAGTGATGACGAGGATATGAAGAAAAGGAAACATTTGTACAGTGTTGCTGGGAATGTAAATTGGTACAGCTATTATGGAAAAGACTACAGAGGTTCCTGAAAAAATTAAAAATACAACTACCATGTGATCCAGCAACTCCTCTTCTGGGTATATATTCAAAGGAAATGAAATCACTCTCTAGAAGAGATACCTGCATTCCCATTTTCATTGTAGAATTATTCACAATAGCCAAGATATGAAAACAACCAAAGAGTCCATCGATGGATGAATGGATAAAGAAAATTTTACATATATATATAACATATAGGTATATGTATATATAAATACATATACACATATATATACACAAAAATATTTTCAGCCTTAACAAAGAAGGAATTCTTGCCATTCACAACAACATGTTTGAAACTGAAGAACAGTACGCTAAGTGAAATAAACCAGACACAGAAAGACAAATACTCTGTGATCTCACTTAAATGTGGAATCTACAAAAGTCATACTCATAAAAGCAGAGAGTAGAATGGTGATTGCCAGGGATTGGGGTTGAGGGAAATTGGTAGATGTTGGTCAAAGGGTACAAAGTTTCAGTTAAGTAGGATGGATATGTTCTGGAGATCTAATGTACAGCATGGTGACTATGGTTAATAATATTGTATTTCATACTTGAAATTTGCTTAAAAAGTTTAATCTCACCAAAACTAATCAAGGGTAACTATGTGAGGTGATGGATATGTGGTGATCATTTCAAAATGTATACATATATGAAAACATCACATTGTACACCCTAAACACACACTATTTTTATTAGTCTATTAGACTTCTATAAAGCTGGAAAAAAAATTGAAACAAAAAAAGAGAAAATGTCTGTGAAAACATAATGATCGTTTTTCTCCTATCACAATGAAACTATCACGTCCTCAGAAAGAAGGTTCCTGGTTACTCTTTCTAGTGTCCCACACTCCCCCACCACTACCACCAGCAGTTTTCTAGCCCATTAACTTACATATAGCTTCCGTACAGCTTCTAACAACATATGAAAATATTTTGATTGAATATTCATATGTTCGGTTATGTCTTGCCCTATAAGTTTAACCTACAAGAGAGGAAGGACATCATCTCTCTTGTTCACCACTATATTCTCCTGTGCTAAAACAATACCTGCCTATCATAGGCACTTTATAAATAGGTGTGGAATAAAATGATAGTGAAATGATATATATATATACATATATATGAATACATATACATGTACATATATTCATGTATGTGTATAAATTAAAACTCTTAAGGCTATGCATGAGCCAATCAGAGTATTGGTTGCTCTATCCACATCGTATCAAGTATTTATCACGAGTCTCTGAGCCAGGTGATATTATCACCATTTTACTGAAGAGAAATACGAAGTACAGAGAAATTTTGTTGTATGGCTATGGCCACACAGTAGCAATTGATAGAAATGCAATTTTCAAGATGAAAACCCAGGGTGATATGATTAAAAAGCCCACATTCTTTA